TGGCTGGGCTTCTGGGGGGTTGGGTTAGCACGGTGGCTCCTTGGCATTCGCTTTCCTGGCACAAAAAATCCGTCAGCTCCGCTGGCAGCTCACTTGAGCTGCACCAGCACCATGAAGTAGGTGACAACTGCACCGAGCACCTGCGGGGCAGAGAAAGTCGGTCGTGTTTAGCTATATTTTCGCACCTTCAATAAATCACATGCAACGCACCGAGGCAAACAAATCCAGGGAAACGGTGAAGAACTTCGCCCCCGATATGCTCATGGCCTTCTGGCACTGCTGGCACACGATCTGGACGAAGGTCTTGGCCTCCTCGGATCCGTCGTACCAGTGGCACGAGTAGGCGGCCTCCATGACAGACGAGCTCTGGAAAACGCAGAAATTGATATAGCCCAGATTTAAATTTGCATTTAAGACTATTTAGGACCCCTTACTTTTATTAATTTTCTTATATTAGTGGATAAATAATCAACTTATCCAAGAACATTGTTCTTGAATTGAGAACATTCGTTCTTAAAAACCGTGTAAGTACATTTTGGTATCAATAAGTATACACTACTGACTGGACTAATAGTTAATTTGTTGAGATATACTATGAAAATATCGCCAATTGAACTTGATTCTTGCAAAATAAGAACATTTTCAATTTAAAAATGTCTTTCTATATTTAAGAACATTTTCAGCTTAGATGACTACGTTAGAATTTTCACTGTGTACTTGTGATGATGATCATCAGAAAAATACTTTTTTTTTAAATTTTTTAAACGTAATAATTTTTTACATTTTATATATTTGTTAGAAAATTATATAACATTTTTTTATAAATTTCGTATAACTGTACAGCACCAGACCTCGCAATTTCTAGGGTCTTATAGTTTTTAAAAACACTTTTCTAATCGCTGCGATTTTTGAAGCTACCAACAGTTGTACTGGCCAATAATATATTTAGAAGAAAAAATTAATTTAATAATTTATATTAAATTAATTTAATTTTAATTATTTTTTTATATGGTATTTATTACTCTACTGGGTTGATCCTGTCCATTTCTGGGGTCTTAACATTTAAAAACACACTTTTCCAATCCTTAAGATTTTTGGAGCAACCAACATTTGTACTGTTACCTTAACAACCCCATCCAAACTCACCTCCTCAATCAAGCGATTGCCAAAGATGCAGAAGTGAAACACCTGGGCCAGGGCATATCCCAGGTAGCCGACGACTGTGAAGGCGTAGACGTTCACTCCGTTGATTTTGGTGGCCTGGTATGCCAACAGGGTCAGCTTGATGGTAGAGGTCAACATGTGCAGCAGCAGGGCAGCTCCGTAGGTATCGCCAATGGCAGCCACCAGGCTGCAGGGAAGAGGGAAAAACGAGGGAAAGGACGAGAACAGGACATTCAAGTCAATATTTTGATCCGCAACAGCACACACAAGTAGCTAAGCCAACTGTCGAACCGGACAAACAAGGCCATCACTCTAGGGGCCCAAACAATGATTGCAATTGAGGAAATAATCAACGAAATCAAACAAGCTGCAGGGATCTGTCGAGAGCCTAATAAATGAAAACAACTCGGGCGAATTTAATGTTTAAAGAACTTAACACTTGCAAACATAAAATAACCAAAATAAAATTGGCAATAGTTTGTCCATTTTCTGGGCTCTTTGTTTAAGATTGCATATATTCAAGTGCCTTTGCATTTTCTCCAGGTGAATGCAATTAGATTTCTGTGCCAGGAGCATCTGGCCAGGTGTGGCCTGTATTAAAATCAGCAGATGCAATCACGGAACCCACTGACCACTCATCCCCTCAGTGGCCAGAGACTCTTCAAATTGTTGGTCAAATTTGGCAAGGATTCGACTCACCGCACGACGTGCTTGTGCCGCTCCACCCAGTACTTGATGGCACTGCGCACCATCATCTCCTGTTTTTTGGTCAGCCCGTTGGGATTAGCCCCGTTCACCAGCCCGTTGCCGCCGCCCCCGTTGCCGCCGAAGGACTGCAGCGTCGAGGGTGCTCGAAACTGGGCGCCCCAATCCGCTTTCGAGCTGTAGACGCCCGTCATGTCCATGTCGGTGGCTGGATCCTTTTCTGTAATTAAAAAACCGCTCGTCACGGGGCTTTCCACAGGGCCTTTCGGTTCACCAAAAATGTTGTATGTAATATACCATACTCTTAACTGCGGACAGGACAACAGTCAAGTAATTAAATTCTCGAAGTCAGTTAGGATTTAAACATTACCTAGAAACTTTAATTGGAAATAAATTATAGTTATTTTAAAGAACAATTTGGATAAGTATCTTAAACTTTGAATTTTCGAAAAATAGTAGGTACTCGTTAAAGGAAAGAACTGTTTTGAATATTTGTTCGGATCTATTACATTATTTCCTAAACCCAGAACTGTCGATTTCACTTCTAGTAGTAATTTGTTTTTTAACGTTTAATTCCTTTTTCATTATTTATATTTCTGATCATGTCCTTTACATGTCTGTCTTCATAACAGCAAATATTTTATTTTTGATAAAAACAGTTCTCTCTCTCATGTTAATTTATATGCAAGAGGGTTGCGTTTTTAAAAATGTTTCTAAGTACACATTTACTTAAGTAAAAAGAATTTCCTGAGAAATAGATTTTGCGATCACACCTATTCGGGGGTCTCACATAAATCTCTTTTGGGGGAAACTCTGGGGAGAGTTTCCACCGAATTTAGCCCGAATAGATTACTCTAAGTCCCCCTTTAATGATATGTTCATAGGTATCGTGTTCAGGTATCGTTTAGTGAATTTAGTTCAACGAAACCCAAACCCCATATATTTACCTTCGTTATGAATGAGCTCCGACTTGGAGTTGGCTGATAAGGACCTGAAGAGGGCCGCCGAGTTGGGTCTGTAGGTGTCCAGCGAGGCAGACAGCTCCATCAGGGGCTTCATGATGCCCTTCAGGTGCTGCAGCTGCTCGCAGGCGAAGATCAGCCAGGAGCAGAACATCACGTCGCAGAGGTTGGAGTGGATCATCGAGAAGAGCACGTAGTAGATCTGAAAGGCGAAGCTGATCATGTAGAACAGTCCGTGGCTGGCGTTCCACGGGTAGAAGGACTTGATCGGCAGCCGCGGAATCTCCACCGGAATGCTGGAGTTCGTTTCGTGGTCCACCACCATCTTCACGCTGTCCCCGAAGAAGGTGATCGTGGTCCAGGCGGTGGCCGAGGCCACGGTGGTCAGCATCACCAGGAAGAACAGCTTCCTCATCTTGGCCAGGGCGATCGAGTGGTAGCGCGCGTCTGACTCGGCGAACAGGGGGTGCGTGTTGACCTGGTTCCATATATTCAGGGTTCTGCAGAGATAGTTATTCTTATTACTCCCAATCCCAAACGAAATTGCAGAATTGCCTAATTATTAATTTCCAACTACAATTATATTCATTTTAAGATATAACCTAGCGCTATGCGGGATATTATACCTTAACCAAAGGATTTTAACTTATATTAACAAAGTAACTGAGAGTCAAAATAACCTAAAGTAGGTTTTTCACAATCTTATTTAAAATGTATTTTTTAATGTACCTCCCTTTTTCAAAGTATAAAATGCTCATTTGGGATACAAATTTTTGTGCCAGTTATTTTTTTACCTGTAGAAATTCTTCTGGTTGACGGCCAAGTAGATGAACTTGGTTATGCAGTGGGTGAAGAAGAGGGTGGTGATCGTGTTGCCCGACAGCTCGTTCACCTCCTCGGCGTTGAGGGCCATGTTGACCAGGATGAAGGCGAACTGCATCAGCAGGAGCACCAGGTGCACCGAGGAGTAGACCTTCTTCATGAACGCACTGCCGCCCGTGAAGTTGTGCATAAACAGGCCCGAGTACTTCATCGCCCGAATATTGGGCATCAGGTCGGCCACCAGGCCCGTGTACTTGCTCGGCTGCATCGAGGTCGTCATCCTGCGGAAAATGGCTCGACATAATTAATTGGGTTTCGCCAACATAATTAGCGATTATTGCCAGTGGATAAAGTGATGGGGGCGATGCGGAATCTTTTTCATATTCCGTCTGTGTGATTGGCCGTTGGTCTGTGTGCGACCCAAAGAGGAAATCCTCTCCGAAAATGAATCGATTTCGCATGTTTTATTCATACTTGTATAATGTATAATGCGGGGTTTTAATCGGTTGAATCGTTAGTGTCCGTTTAGCTTTAAGCCAGTATATAATACTGAGATTGCTTTTTCTTGACTTGGCATTTTGAGGATAACATTTTTTAACAGAGCTTTCTTAGCTCCATTTAATGAAAATGTTTTTGTTAGCCTGATTAAGTTTTATTCTTCTCCATAAAAAACAATTTAAATTCTAATCAAATTTTAGGTTTGAAATAGCACTTTTTATCCAACTTGTACAAAACTCAAATTTAAAGAAATCTCTTTAATGTCTAATTATATTTTAAATTTGGAAAAAGGAAACAATTAAAAGTCGAAATTTGAAAAAACACTCTGGATGTGAATGGGTTTTTGAATTTCTATGCATTTTTAATACGCATTGCTTTTAAAAGAGTCAAGTAACTGAGATTTTAACGCGAACAAAATATTTGATATTTAATCATTAAAAAGTTAGCACTGAGAGGTGTTGACTAATAAGTTGTAGAGCAGAAGTTTACCTTGCAATTGAGCCTTAAAAATTCAAATTTAATCGTTGTCTTGTAAACGGTTGTTAACTGAGTGCAAGCTAATGCACTTCTAGGCAAGCATTTCACTCACTGAGGCTATACCGGAATTATTTAAGATACAACAAGGGTTTTAAAAACCGGGACCCAGTTAACTTGCCAGCAGGGCGTTGTCGACGTTAATGAAACGTGAAACCTGGAAGGTTAACGGGCTCTGCCGACAAGTGATTGCTTCTTCTGTCGTCTGCCAGTACATAAGGACGTGTACTTTGAGGGCAGAGTTCCCACGGCTGCAGCAAGGCCACGTTCAATCAGACCCCTGAAACTTTCACTCCGACCCACACATGTTAATGAAAATATATGGCTGTGGGCCTAAAGCCGGCCTCGGAGTGCTTAAAAATTCAACTTTTAGCCACGTCCGTCCATGATGGGTGCGTGGCAGACGCCGAATTCCCACAATTAAGTCGAACGCCCACGAACTTGCCGACCGCCATGTCGCCGTCTCCAGGTCTAGGACTCAGGCCTGGGCCCTGGCCCTGTCCACGCGGCGTATGCGCAATGGGCAGCGCAGCACGGGATAGGGGAACACGCTCCTCTGGCTCCTCTGCGTGGCATCTGCGGTATCCGAACTTATGCAAATTTTAAAAGCATCGATTATTTTATTATGCCTGTTTGTATTTGTTGGCCCTAAGTGCCGCAGAGTCATGGGGAAGGGCATTCAGCCCCCAACTGCTGCCACGGGCCTTCCCCGAATCGCTGACCCAAAAAATAACCCACATACCCATTTGCATGGAAATTTGTGCCCGGCCTGATGGATAGTTCGACTTTGTTCTTTTTTCGTTCTCAGTTCGAAAGCACCCAGGCTCAGTGGGCGCAGGAAGCCAAATCGAACAGGAAATCCCCAGATATGGGGCAACAGAAGCTCTAAAGTAAGATGCGTTGCTTGCTAAAAGGACCTTTGAATTTGTGTTATCACCGGTGAAATAACCCTTCCAATACTGTGCTTCAGGTCGAAAAATAAGAAGCTCTAGAAAATTAATTTTTGATAAAATCATTTGAGAATTTATTTTGATGCCCGTTCCTGTAAAATATATATAATATGAATTACTAGCCAAATAGATATAGTCATGTCCGTCGTCTGTATGTCTGTCTATTACTATACAATTGTGTATTTTTTGAGCTAAGATTTATATTTTAAAGTTCAAAGAATGTATTTAGACAGGGCCGCATCATTGAAATAAGTCGAAAAGTAAAATGTTCCCATGGAAACCCTATGGATGGAAGAAGAAGATAGTTTTTCGAATGCTCGACAAAGGTTTTAAAATGTAGTAGTAAGTAATGTGAATACATCAGCAACGGTTTAGTCGCAGTTTACTATTAATTCGAATGTTTTGAAGTGTGATTTTTGAATATTCTACAATGGATTAAAATGATTATATGTATAAAGCTCTTAATGTAGCTTATTACCCCACGGGGTAAAACTGTATTGCTCTGTCAGCTCTCTGCAAAATAGTTTTAGTCACTGCTTAAATGGAACACATGGGAAAACAAAATAGAACCCAACACAAACTCCCAATAAAGTTATTTAAACTAGTTTTGGCAGTATTAATATGCAGTCAATGTGCCGGGAACACAATGTACTTTCTAATACGATTCTAATTGCTGAAACACAATTGTAACTATGTTCCGGAATGTGAGTGTGGCCAAAATGGGTTGGACTTGCTGTTTTCAACGGGCAGTTGGTTTACACGGCTCAGATGGCTTAAAACTCATGTACGTAGATGGGAACTCAGACACAGATGTGGCAGCTCATGGATTATTCAAATGCAGAAGTCTCACGAACACCAATTAATACGTGAATGCCCGCCAGTGTGGATCTGTTTTTTGTGCGACGGGATTTAACAATATTGATTTAACGTTTAATTGGACTGCACTCATCCATGCTAACTGAGTTCCTGCTCGGTATTCCCCCTTTAGTCCTTCGATTTGGTCGGTTTGTTTAATGGGTTCTGGCTGGAAATTTAATCACGCAGATGCGTTTGGCTCAATTAGCTAACCGCGGATGTTGTAAGCCCTGCAGCACTTTAACATTAATTATTAAGCAAACGCAAAATGAGCAGTGGCACGTACTTAATTTAAATTATAATTGATACGAGTAAACTAATGAGAATAATTCTCTTTGTTGTGGACAGTGCAGATTTCGAAATGTTTCTCTAATAATAAATTAGCCCAACAAATTGTTAATTTAAATGTCACTTTGGTATATATTTTTGATAAACCAGAAGTATGACATAACGTATGGCAGGCCCAAAAATATAGGCAACATTATTTTTCCTCACACCTCAAGGACACATTTTACCCAAAACGAAATGATTTCCAGGATGGGCACCCAAAAACCGCAAATCTTCCTTATGACATGCCACAAGCACCAACAAAAAATCAACCGCAAGCTGTAAAACAATAAAAACTGAAAAATAAGCATAAAAAGTTATTCAAGCAATCCATCAAATCGGTCATAAATTACGAAATCAATGCGACACACACGCACACATAATAAAAACTCGCTTTCACCCACACTCACAAGAAGAAAGCACCCACACATTCATGTGCTACGACTTTTTATTAAGCCTACGAGGAAAAATTAGAAATCAATACCAGCGAGGACAGAAAAATCTGTTAAATGACAAACAAAAAATGGCGAAAACAACAATCGGTTACTGTGTGTATGGGGGTCCTTTCCTTTTGCTCCTTTTGGTTTGTCTGTGTGCGAATGTGTCAGCATCAGAAATTATCCGCTTTATTTTCGGACTGCCCGTAGCCCTCGACCTAGAGAAGCTTTTACCAAAATTTATGGCTATGCATAACCGACATGGGAAACAACAACCGATTGAAAACACATATACCCGTAGGTGCGGGTGTGCCGGAATTCGGGGTGTGCGAGTGGTCTGTGTGTGTGCCAGGCCATTAGAGAAGCAGAAGAAATGTTGACATTGTCATAAGAACGGCAAAGAAATGTGGGAGATGCGAACAACAACGGACGAGCGCAGGAAAGCGCAGGAATTATTATTATTTATTCCCGAGTTTTATAAGATTTCGGAAAGAGGTGCTGGGCGCTCATAAATTCTATCTATGTAAGCACACCGGGAGATTATTATGATATTATATGAAAATCAAACGGTCGAAAATATACAAATACTAATTATTTATCGATTGTTAAGTGAAATGGTAAATGCAGAATAGTAATATAACTTGTAAGATTTTTAACAATTTAAGGCAAGAATGAATTCTATGAAAGAAAATTTTATATTATTATTTTATTTTAAACAGATACAGCGCTTTAGGAGATCTAGCAGAGAAGTCTGCTATGTTGAGGTAATAGTATAAATACGCCTTATGCTACAAATAACTACTTGAGTACTCAAACAATTTCTCTCCGTGCAGCTGTGCCTGTGTGCGTGCGGGTGTCATTCCTTTTGTTGGCCGCTGACAGGCAGACAGATTCCAACCGGAAGTCGCGGGAAGCGGAAGGAAATGCCTTCGTGGCTGCTTGCCGAGACAGTGTCAAAAGTTTAACTCTAGATTTATTTGCCATTTAATGCTGCAGCTCCCCCTTGCTTTGTACAGGAGTTATAGAGGAGTTATAAATCTCCCGGCTGTCTAAGCAGGTCAATGCTCAGGCCAACCTCCCGACGAAGCCGCTGCATTTGCCTTCTCACGTTGCAGCTGCAGCCCAGTTCACCGCCCCTGTCGACATTTGGACCAGTGTGAGGTCTGTTTGTTTGCTGCCTGCCACAAAGTTGTCAACGCGGCAACTAAACGAGTTTTGGTCTTGTGGTGTTCTCTATAGGTATGTAGTGCGCCTGTGTTTGTTGGTGGGTTTCCTTTGTTGTCCTCCCGCCCGAAATTCGAAGTTGTTTTCCCCGCCGAGGGCATGCGCAAGGAGAGTAACATACGAGATGAGAGAGCGAGTGGTACAACATCTCGAAGTATAAGAGATGGGAGATGGCGTTGCCACGTAATTCAAAATTATATAAAAGCCGGATATAGGCCTATATTGTTTTGTTAAATCGTGCAACAAAGTAATATAATTGCATTGAACTATTTCGATAACAATAAACATGAATTTTAATTTCTTTTTTGGAATTTCACATAAAGATTTAATTTCTCAACAAAATCTATGTATTCATAATAACCAGTTTAAACATCAAATGTTGATTTTTTTTTTGATTGGCAGTAAAATATTTTCAATTTATAATATTTTTTGTGGGCACTAAAATTAGTTTCTAACAACTTGTACTAGGCAGAACGAAGAAATAATAATCCTTGTAGGTACAAATTCTGAGAACCCAACTGAAATAAATGCCTTAACCTCTCTAAAGATTTAAATTAAAGAATTTATAATCATTATATAGTCTTACCAATATTAATTCAATTAAGTAGTATTACGCACATTTACGCCACCTATAAAACCATACAAGCAAAAGACACCACCATGGTTTTTCTCAAAAGACACGGTTAACCTTTCTCTGCATTATACAACAAAGGCAATCACTCCGCCAACAGTATACCAACAAAAATTTATATCTCTCAAGGAAAACTTTCATAACTACGGATTTATCTACACGGACGGTTCCAAATCAGCCCAAGGAGTATCCTATAGCGTCACGACAGAAACAACAGTAATTAAAACAGCCATTCTTCCGACACTCAGCTCAATTTATACAGCAGAGGTGGCAGCCATCTATGCTGCATGTAAATACGCTGACAAGCAAAAGAAAAAAGTGGTTATCTGCTCTGACTCCCTATCTGCTGTAACTTCAGTTACCAACACCAATAACCAATCTTTCTATACCGTTCGTATTCGAGACATCCTCAACCGCCACCAACCAAAGATTATATTACTGTGGATTCCAGGCCATAACAATATTCCTGGTAACGACACAGCAGACCTAGCAGCAAAAGAAGCTCACAAATTCCCACAGGTTATGGAATGCAACTATAACTTTACAGACACACAGTTATTCATTAAAAATACCTTCAAAAAACAAATGGAATCGATCTGGCAAAACGCATCTAACCACTACAAATATTTCAACGAAAAAAAATTATCAATTAAAGATTACACCATCCCATCCGAAGACAACATCAACCGCAGAGATCTCACAAAATTCTTAAGACTACGTTTTGGACACACAAGATACACCCATGAGCATGTTCTCAATAAACAACCCCCACCCCAGTGCGAGCACTGCAGTACGCGAAACAACGTGCGGCACTTTTTCCTAGAGTGTCCAGTTCATGAAACTTCAAGAAGCAACACCCTCTCCATAAAGTCACCTGATGCCCTATCCCCAAAATCCACCAATATCGCCAGCGCCAATGTTTTCATCAAGGCCATACGCTTATATAACAATATATAAATTTTGTAAATAACCATATATAAATACACTTTCTCAGAAAATATGTAAATAACATCCTCCTAGCTTAAGGCCCAGTAGCTATAGCTAAATTAAGTGGTTGGTGGCAATTTGCAATTGTCCCAAAACCAGAATATAAATAAATAAATAAATAAATTTGTTATGTAAGTATTGCTTCTTATTTAAGAGCATTTAATATTCTGCATTTTGGGAGGAGCTCTAGAATTCGGAACCATCTGGCAGCACCATGGACTCACGTGCGTTATCTTTGACTCGGGGAGCCTGTGAAATGCAACAAGAGAATGTTCTCGCCATCCGATGGCTCTCTCCCTCGAGGGATTCGCTCTTTTCGCACAGATTCGTATAAGAAGAGAGCGAGCAGCAACAACAGTCGGAGAGAAAATAAGCCATCCACTGTTACGGGATCTCCGTTTGGGCCAGCAAAACGAGCATGGCGACGAAAGGCAGCCAATGGCTTCGATTGGGAGCCAGTCAAAAATGGTCCATCGACGGGAGATGAACAGCAACGAGAGCAGCATCCGCCAGCAGATCCGCAAGCCAAGTCGCTGCCAAGAGCCAAAACCAAAGCCAAAGCCAACCGAACCGGGCCAGGTCTAAAAGAGGACGTGTGTGGTAGTGAAGTGAGTGTACGTGGACGGGAGTGTAAGTGTCGGTGCCAGTGCGTTGGTGTGGGTCGCAGGACCTCTTGAAGTCAGACAACGGCAGAAGTCCACTCCTTCGCTGCTAGTTCTTTGTTGCTGCTTGTTAGTGCTAAAAGCACGCAGCACGGAGTGCGCCAAAAGAACTACCACTGCTGCAGACACAGCTGCCCCACATACACACCCGCCCGGCCAGGGAGGAGGAGGTGGAAACCTCCGCGGAGAAGCCCCCAGGAAGTGCCATTTGAATAGTAGTAGCAATAGGAGATACGTAGACAACATACACGCTTTTCGTGGGCCTCTGCCCCACTTGCGTGGGTGTGCTCGGATTTATGCAGCACTAGTTACATAAGCCATCATCATCATCGGCAGCAGCATCTGAAGACGGCCAAGGCATCGTTAACATCAGCCAGCTGCCATAAGTATGCTATGAATTTCGCTTTGCATGCGCCGAGCAGAGCGATACCGCTCTTGGGGTCGGGGGAGGGCTATGGGGGGATAATGCCGCCGATACAGGACCAGCAATGAAAATCGCATTAGCATTAGGATGTGATAACAGCTGCTACCCGCCCATCAGCTGGCGACGACAACAGCACTCGGCTGCTCCACAATTACCAAGGCAACAATTGTTGTTCAAACTTTGGATAACGCATACGCACTGTTGCACTTGAGTTGTGCCCCAGTCGGGGAAGTCGCCTCAAAGACTCGGCCTAATAATTGTTATTGGGTGCCAAGGGTTATCCAAGAGGTTGTCGCACAATGCCCACTGAGGCATAGAAAGTCAGTTCGGGTGATTGCCGGTTTTTATAGGGTAATGTAGACAAAGAATGCGAAAAGCAAGTACAATGAAGAGCACAATAGCACAGTTACTTTTATTTGGTACCATCGCAATATTTCGGAGCAATGAGGCTTAAAAGTTCTTCTGTGATATTTTTAATTAGTTAACTTGGAATCGTTAAATAATTTTGTGGTTTTGAGAAATCCTTGATTTCTGGAAAATAGAGATAGACTTTACAATTAACTAATTTAATAACCAGTAACAGAACTGGGCCCAAAGGCTTGTTCAATAAAGAGGATAGCTGCATTGCATATTTTAAATATTAACGAATTAATTTAATTTAAATAACGAGTTATTCATTTAAGAGTCAACTACTAAAATTAAGAATGCAATTTAGTTTGATGTAATAAATTATAGACAATCTCCAACTTTTTTAAGCTCACAGTATTTTTTAAGGTTTAAAAAAGAATATGTTTATATGATTTAGAATTTTTCCGACTGATCCTAGTTTTGTAAAAAATGTACATAAGTAGTATTCATTCCGTAAAAAATATCGAAACAAACACTCTAAATTAAAAGAGATCGTGATGAAAAAACAACTAGGCCATAATTTATTTTCCGATAATTTCTATTAGAGCAATACTATATAGTTCTGACGACATAGTTTTGCCCTACAAATCCTAATGTTTTTTTAATTAACACACACTTAACACACTTTTTAGTTTATACCCAATTTTTTAATGCCTAGAATTATATAGTCGTATCTTATTTACTAAAAAGGTTAGGTCAAATTGGACAATAATATACATACAAGACCCTAAACGTTGTATTCTTCTAATAAGATGGTAATGATGCTATAACACATAGTTACTTATATCAGAAGTAAAATACTTTACAGTAATGCTATAAACAATTTATTTAAAGGACCCTCACATAATACCAGGGTTTCACTTTTCACCTTAAGCCCTAACAACATACAGATACTATAGAGCACGATAACACTGCAATAATAGAGGGAATTCACGTCACTTAATACCCGTATAAAAGACATCTGCTTATCTGAATTTCACAGAGCTCTTTCCCTATTTACGACACCTTTTAAAACGATCGTCAAATTTGCTTCATATCACTTATATAATGCCGGTGCCCCTAATTCCCGCAGGTGGCAAGTGAGACGGCTGCCTCTACTTCCAGCAGCGCCATTTGAAGTCGGAAGCTGCATGGTTTTCGCATTTTTGCCACAATCAGGAGGAAGCTCATTAAAGCCAACAGCAACAACGGCAATACTAGAAATAAGCTGAAAGTTTTCCTCCAGAAGGAAAGCGGGTTGGGGAAAGTGCGGGGAAAGTGCGGGAAAAGGGAAGGGGAAAGGGAAAGGAAAAGGGAAAGCTGAAGCAAATGAGCGTAGTCTGGCACAGCGTGTGGGCGTCTGTGGGTGCGTGCTGGGGCGTGGCAAATTGGGGCAGCAGAAACATGATAAGGTCTCAAAATGTTACCACAAAAATCCATTGGGAAGTACACAACATTTCCCATTCTGGCCGGCGCGTTGGAAAGTAAACCGCAATTAAATTTGCATTAGGCAATAAAAACAAAGCGGAGTGGCCACTTGTTGTTGTCCTTATTGTTGTCTCAGCAGCTAATTACAAGAATTTTGCAGCAGTCGTGCCGAGCGGGATTAAAAAACAATAGATATGCCAGGACTGTAAATGCCTTTTCAGAAGTGCCACAAACACATGTATGTACATAAAATAAAAACAAACACAGGAGCCGCGTTTACAAATAGAACACAATAAAGGATATTATGTTGCTGCCAACATGAGTAGAAAGTCAGCAAAAAAATCACCCCAAAAATAAGCTAACAGCAACACCCCACAAAAATAAACTGATAAAAAGGAAAAAGTTAAGAGCGGAAACAAAGTAAGAAAATCATAATGATGATGGATTAACTGCTCCCAGTTGATGCTGATGTTGTGTGAGTGAGAAAGCGAGTGAGTGGGAGGAGCAGCGGAAGTCGCAGCAGCAGCAGCAGCAACATCAACACAGCAGCAACATCGGCACAGCAGCAACATTGCAACAGCGGCAGCAACAGCAACGGCCAAGCAGAATCAGGTTAGTTATTGTTACTTCTCGCCGACTTTTCCTTCCTTTCGCCCTCGTTATATACCATTTTCTGCCCGGTTTTGTGGTCCACTCGGCGGATGACCACAGTTTGTGTAAATCATTATTTATGCATTAATTATTAAAATATACACACACACAGATCGCCACTGGCAGCTGCCGTCAGCGGCGGTCAGTGGGGAAAAGTCATTAATCTTGGAGAGCTTACACGGGGCTTTCGGGGGTCAGTACATAAGAAATTACGACCGAAATTAGGTACGTGGGCGAGTTCTGGTTAGCTGGGAATATTGAGTGAGTGGGTCGCCCCCCTCCCCTGCTGCCCACCGTTAATTGAAAGTTGGTAAGCTGGCAGTTGCAGAATCCCTTGTCGAAAATTTTCACGAGAAATCATGGCTGAAATTCTAATTGCTGCAAGGAATTTCGGCTCCACAAACTTTTCACAAATCCAGCTGAAATTGACAGAAGCTATGCTTCCATTTCGAAATCAGGTTTGCCTCCGTTTGACCTCAAACTCTTTTGTACGCTTCTTTCTGAGAATTCCTCACTCCTGTCGAGCTAGCCGAAATATTGATTAATTAACGAGGCCAAGCAATCATAAGAATGTTCTATTGAAACTTGTTTTGCGATTGTCTGACCCTTCTTTAGATAAAAGTTAGATAATACTATCAATAATATTCCAGTCATGTTCTTTTGTTCAAGACCCATTGCGAAAACGTGATGAACTCAAGATTAGACATGAATGGAGACTTTTATAGAGTCCCTGAGGTATTCCTTTATAAGCTTCTGGAACCATAAGTTTGATGCAATTAAATTTAATTTTAGCTGCATTTCTTTTTAATCTCATTATGGCAGTAAAAGCTTAACTTAGTCCGCCCCGGCCACCTTATCCACCATCAACTGGACTTTCTTCTTGGGAGCCCTCCAGGAGCCTGTAGACGCTGCAGGACACCGAAAAGTTTGCCAGAAAGAAGAAACTTGTCCAACTATACTAGAAAGTTATTTGCGAATGTTTCGTTTTCTGCACTTCTAAGCAAAAGTTGTCCAACCTCCAATGAAATCGCATCGAGCAGAATGAAATATAATAAAAACACGCTCCGAGTTTGCCTTTTTGATAAACAATTCAAACACGAAGCCCACACACATGCGACTGCAGATTCAATAACAATTTGGGCGAGGACTTTTCAACTATCCCCTTGTTCTACACCTATTAAAGGAGAATACCTACAAAGAACTCTTATACCTGGTAGTTACAATCTAATGGCAGGGAAGAGTTGTTTGGTGAAAACATTTACATGGTTAGTTATTATCTGCCGGTGGATACATATGTGTTCCTGATAGCAGCCAGGAAAAACACTTGAACTGTGCAATTAATTCTGAGACTGTGCTGTTAGCAGGGGAGTCCCCGAAAGTGACGTCTTCTTTCTCCGGCTGAGACTGCGAGCGTGCGTTCGTGCCATTTATGTGTGAGCTCGGCAGCGTGCCTAGCATTAAAGAATTTCCCAATGAAGTCATCCCGACCCGGGAGGGTCCCCAGACTCTCCAGTTCCAGATAGCATAGCCCAACATCCTTCGAGACCCATTAGGAGGGTCTGTCTGCGGGGAAGGGAG